CGAGTTGCGGTATGTGTCTCTGCTGCTAATTGCATCTCTACTGTGCTTCTGTTCGCGCGATGCGTGGAAGGGAGGGCGGCATTAAATGGCGAAAGGCCGCTTGTGCCCGTGCGTGTAGCCTCCCCGGAGCCGGGCTTCAACGTCGGGCTTGAATCGTCGCTCGTTGAGCTTCCCGGAGCCAGCGTGTCCCGCGTATCCGAGCCCGGTGATGTGGGGCAGCGCATATGGCTTCCCTTCGGAGGCGGCTTTGGGCACGGGATCGTCATCCTGGCTTTGTGCCTGAGTCCTCACAAACTTTCAGTAACAGTGCAACCGTCCAAGTGAGGTGCGAGCTCCTGAAAGTAGTGTGTTTCATATGGGAGAGGACAAATACTTGCTGCAAGAGAAATGACGGTCAGCGGGGTGTTGTGCCAGGCTCTCACGGCAGGGAGAGCGAAGGGTAATGACAGGAACTCACATGGGCATGTGGCGGCAGGCCTAGGGTGCTGCTGGTTGTGTGGGGTGCCTCTCCTGCTGTGTAACAAAGCTGCGTAGAAAAAGTTCCCACATGGCTTTAAGTTATTTTTATTTGGAGCTAACGCTGTCAAAATGAAATTCTAGTGCACAATAAAGTACCTGTTTCAAGAATAGAAAGGAATGTAGGGAAGGAAAAAAAGAACCAAGCAGATTTGCTATGGGCTTTGGTTGATGAGTTAAACGTCATTAACTGAGAGGCAACTTTATGTAGATAATAGTTTGAAGTTGTATGTACGCATTCCTACAGAGTGATAAATAAGAATCTCCTAAAAATTCAATTGTTTTCCTCAGCGGTAGATTCTGAGGAAGTTTGTTTTATGGGAATGATTTGAAGAATCAAATAGAAATTTAGAGACCACTTAAAAAGAAGTTACACCAGAGTCTGGGTTTCTTGTTTACACTGAATGTAAGCATATGTTGTCTTTTTGTTGCCTCTTATATTTTTACCACCTTATCTATAGCAAAAAAGAGATGTTAGTAGTATTAAAGAAAAATGACTTGTGTTATGTTGGTTATAGGGCTTAAATGGATAGTCAGATGTGAAAGTTCAGACCAAAGCTGTTTCGTTCTGTTCTGATGCTGCTGCTATCATTTCTGTTTATTCTGCCAGTGAATAAGTATTCCTTCCTCAATGCCAGTTTATACCTTAAGAGGTAGTCAGCTGCCTTTGAAGAGTTTTTTTTGTCCCATGTTTTAATGTGTCTCTTCAGGCTTTTTTCTTTGTACTTCTTTCCCCTTTCCTGTGGACAATTTGGGTTAACACTTCAAATATAAGAAGGTGGAATTTGGTGAACAGAATGATTAACATGCTTCAGTTTTAGTGACTTTTTAGGAAAAAAAATCTTTTAGTTCATAAAATCCATCAAGTAGTTATTTTTGTCCAAGAGGGGTGAAGCTGAGCGTTTGACAAAAATCTGTATACAGGGTATCCTTGTGCTTTTAATCTACATACACCTTGGCATTACACTTTGGTGACCTAGTCTTGTGGTGGCAATTTTGCACTATTGTTTGTGCTGTTTCAGGAGAACTTAAAATAATTTAAATATTTTTTGTAGATTACTTTTTTAATTCTAGAAATTCTGTACTTTTGATGAGGATATTTGATAACCAGCTGTGGAAATGTTCAAGGCCTTGAATGTTAGGGAAGGTGTTTATGAAACAATGTCTGTTATGTTACCTGTGGCCTAAGCTACCTATGCTACAAGTTACACAACCTCCATTTGCACTAAAATGATGGGTCTTTCAGTAGTGACTATTAATCAGAATAGCCACATCCGCTGTAGTGGTTTTTAAGTTCTGCAAAACTACTGTTGTGATAGAGGAATGACAAATTTTACTTAGCCAGTTGAAGGCAGTCAGAAAACACCTTGCACAGTCAGCAGTGGCAGGTAGATAACTTCTATTGGCAAATGGAAGGAAAAGGAATTGAAGCCAGTTACCAAATTTTCAGAATTACCTTTAAATAACAACAGCAAAACAAAGCAAAAAACCCCTTTCTTATACTAATGGAGATTACTTTTCAGTTGTGAAATAACTGCCTTGAGTTTTTTCTCCTTATCCGTCCCCCCCCCCCTCCAAGTCTCTACATAATTAGTTCACGTGCTGCCGTGCTATTGAAAGCTTTTCTGAACTGCAGCATCACAGAGATAAGACTGATCCCATTCACTGGAGCTGTGTTGTTGGTAGTAAATCTGAAAAAAAACTGTCCTTCACATTTTGTTGCTGTTTAGGGGAGTAAGCATTGATAGGTTTTACAAATTGTGTATGGACAGAGGGGAAAACATAAAGTCCTTTTCTCAGCACTTTTCGCTTCTAATATGTATAATCTTTATATTAAGCTTCATGTTTCACAGTACGCTACATACAAAGACAGCTGGGTCATCTAAGATGCATTGTTATTTTTTTGCTTGTTTGTTTTAAGTTATGTCATGCTGCCTCTTCATTCCAAAATTCAGCAGAAGTCTTTCAGAGCTCACTGTGGTGGTAATGAAAGGTCCTGGAAAGTTCAAGTTGCTGCCTTTTTTTTTTTTTTAATCTAAAAATATTTAACCATATTAAAAAAAAAAAAAAAGTTCAATGAAGAAAACACACCACACACACCAAGCCTGGCATTTATAAAAAATATACAGAAGCTACAGGGACTGACTGATAGAAATTAAATATTACATCGCGTGTAGTTTTAATAGTGTTAGTGCCTGGATGCTACCTATAGTACAGATGATAACGAGGACTTAATTGAGCTGGTTTTATCTTCAGTACAAGTTAGCTTATTCATATGCAATCATGTTGCAGTTTTATCTTGTTTAATGTAATAATGTAGTTGAATTGTGGTTTTTCAGTTTGTAAACAACGGACAATTACCACTTGGTTGGAGAATAAAGGACCCAAGACAACTGAGTCCAAAAGGTAAAATATACAGCATAGCTCTTCAAAATTGTGTTCTTTGAGTAGGCCTGTGATATCAGACTATGTCCTTAGTCAACACATTTAGGTGTGAAAATAAGAATAATGAATTGCTGCAATAGATTTCTAAAGTAAGCAACTGATTCATCATGCTTCGAGCTTTAAGTGGAAATAGGTTGTTACTGAGCTACATTCCCCAGTGCAGTAAAACTTCTTGGTCCTGGTAGTGATTGCTTAGAGTATGATGGGTAAAATTCTGCAGTTTCTATTGTATGTTTATAATAATTCCTTTAAAAATATGTATATATACACACAGAGAATTTTCATTTGGAGATAAGATGTTAAATTCCCTTACTTCTCTTCCACAGCTTACACAGCAAAATTAATAATACTGAAGCAAATCCCAAGATGACTTCCATTAAAAAAGAGAACTTTTGTGATCATGATGTGAAAAAGCTAGAGAATGTTTGTCAGCAAAATTATTCAAAAATATCTGTAGAAGTTGGTGCAAAGCATGTAATTTTGCCTCAGACAGGCAGCATGTATAATTGGGAGGCTGAGGACAAAGATCCAGGCTTAGACACAGAGCCTGTGAAGGGGATGCAGTCTGGAGACCTCTTTAAAAACGCCAACATTGATCAGATGCACAAAACTGGCAAGCAGGCTCAGAGAGGCTGTGAAGAAAGCAATGACAGTTGGACTCAGAGGAAATCGTCATCAGGCCAGCCTTTGAAAATGGGAAATGCAAAACTTTCTTCGAAAGAGACAGAGGGACTGGTGGCTTCATGCAATTCACAGAAGCTGAAGAGTCACAATTCTGTCTGTTTAATGGGTGAACAAGGAGAAGGGGATGTAGTTCCAGAAAGCCCACTTTCAGATGCTGGTTATGCTTGTATATCTGATCTTGGAGGTCCTGCGAAACTGAGCAAAGGTCAGAGCAGTTCAGGGGATTCGCCCGCTTTTGAGAAAGAAAGTGAACCAGAGTCACCGATGGATGTAGATAATTCTAAAAATAGCTGTCATGGGTCAGAGGCTGATGAAGAAACAAGTCCGTTTCTTGATGAGCGAGAGGAGATTAATAGGTCAAAATCCATAAACAAATCTTTCAGAATTCAATATGGGGATGCTGAACTGGCGTCAAGAAAGTCACGTTTTTCTGCCAAGGGCTCTGGAAGCTTTGAGGAAATAGATAATTCTGTTAAAGATGATGGTCTGTATACAAAGTCACCTAGGATCTCTCCTGCTCCATCATCAGAATGCAAAGGTGCAAAACAGGGTGTGAAGAGAGATTCCAAAATCACCTCTCACTTCATGAGGATACCTAAAGTTGAGGAGAAGAGGTAGTGTTCTGTCTGTCTCTCCATTTGTTTTTTCATGCTTGAAAATTTCCTGCCTGGTGATAGCATTTTGGAGGCTGGATTGTTTAATGAGTTTTGCAAAAGGTGTGTTAAGACACAAAGACAACTTTGATGTAAGCTTGAAGTAACTTTTTTCTAATGGGACTACTTGTGGGTTTTTTTAAAAGGATATGTTTGTCCAGTGCAGTTTATTTTAAATGAGTGGAGATCTGTTAAAATTGGTAATTAAAGACACCGTAGGAAGTTGATTTTCTTTATCAAAGAAGTGATTTAAGACTGTGGGATTTTTAATACTTGAAAATGAATGGTGGTGCGGGAATGCTTTATGGAGTGTAGCTCTAGCATTCGTTATTTCATTCAGAATACTTGAGGAAATGTGTTTTCTTGGTATTGTTAGTTTCATCTGTCAAAAATATTGAATGTGTTTTGTTGAAGCATCAGTGCTACTTTTGCTTTGATTGAAGTAGACATGAAAAATTTCACTTTTGAAAACAGTTAAGAGATGTGTGTGAGTTTTTTCGTTTGGTGTTTTTTTTGGCTTTATGCATAATTTGGGAGAGAGAAGGACTGGTGATTACACACTACAGCAAAGGAAATAGAAGCCCTGAGTGTGACCCAGGACTCTGCATGCTAGGTATTGTGTAAGGACAAGAGGATAATCTCAGCTCTGAAGCGCTTAGATTTCAGTGGGACCTGAGAAAGTGAATAAATGGCAAAGGAGTACGCAGAAAGGAGAGAACTATGTGTGTTGGTGTTATAAGCAATTATCTCAGTATCCGTTAAAGAAGGGCAAGAAAGTAGTTTTGCACATCTTTACTGAGAAGTCCCTTCTGGATGTGACGAGCAGCAGAAACTACTTTTCAAGGCAATGAAGAAGAGGGTGACTGAGGGTGGCTAACTAGCGTCAGGAGCTTGCATTTGAGAAGTCTTAAGAAATGAGTAGGCTGAGAGTGCATTTGGAAAACAAAAAAGTAATTCTTGGGGAAAAATGTATGGATGAAAAATTTGCTAAAAAATGTATGGAGAAGGGGGTCATAAAGTTTAAAATGATGGGTTTAGGGAGTGCTCTTTCACTAATTTAAATGAATTGCTGTTGTAGCAAAGGAGCAGAGATTGAGGCTTAAGTTTATCAGTGCTAGAGCATTGTGTGTTACAATAAATCCGTGTTTGAGAAGGGAAACTCATGCAAAAGTTTTGCTGCATGGATGGATGGGAATCCTAGCAGTGCTTTACAGAGTAATTAGTAAGGTAGAGTATGAGGCTGTAGAGAGATTATTTTTTCTTTCTTTTTGAGGCCTAAACAAGATAATGTGAAGGTTATAAACCTCAGTGCCATCCAAAATAGTGGTATTGCCTGTAGTGCTTAAGAGGACAATTAGAAAATCTTAAAGCTTTCTTCCTGTTTTTTTTTTAGACCAGATCTACAGCAGATAACAAGGTGGCTCAGATCTTAACTTGCAGAGGAGGAAGTGGTGGTGTATCAAACAGGTTTCAGTCATCAGTAATGCTGTGCCAGAATTATCCTTTGGCTCTCAGCTGAGCATAGGGGGCCTGTACCCAGTGTCATGCTGTTTGCGTGGGATCAGCCAGGTTGGAGGCATTGTCTGCACCTGAAGATACTGGCATAGGCATAGACACAGTGAACAGGTTGGACAACTTTATCCAAAGGTGGAGTAAGTTTGCTAAGGGGAATTTAGGGGTCTAAACAGTGCCTCGAAGTGTAGGCTTTTAACTTGTTTTGCGTTTTACTCTGAGAACCTTCTCTTGCATGAGAAACATCTGGCACGTTACATCAAACATACAGCAGGTTCAGATTTTTCTTCCCCAAAATCTCAGGTCCATGCAAATACCTTTGGTCATTAAAGAGGATTAATTTGTCTGCTCTTGCATGTATTTGAATTTTGCAAGTGATTTTTTGGGTTACTTTTAAATTTCTGCTTCCGTTGCAAGTATTGTATGCCTGGCATGAAAAATATAACCCTAGTGAAAAAGGGTGGTTAAGAAGTTTTTTTGTTTTTGTTTGGTCTGTTGTGTTTTGTTTGTTTGTTTGAAGAAGGAGTATGTGCATCTGAGCGTGCACATGTATTTGTTTTCCAACAGTTGAGAAGGGGCTGTAGAGGGTATCCTGACAAATGCAGACCACTGAGTCTGTGTCCTGTCCCTGGGCAAACAGATTCTGTTGGGAAAGAGCATGACTGCACAGAGGAGAACCCTGCCTTGCCAACATACTGCAGTTCTGTGAAGGTGTTTGTAAGCCTGTAGAGAAGAGTAGTGTGGTAGACATCATGTACTAATGCGTGTTGGGGAGGAGGAGGTTGTTGGTAGTGGGGTTTTTCCCCAAATAAGGCGTTGGCCTGGGGCCACAGCAAAGGCTAGCAAATAAACTGACTCTGTTACAAACATAACCCTGGAATGAAAGTTTGTATTTGCCTACCAGCTTTTTCAGTGGAAATAAAATGTTTCAACATATTTTATTTTAACAGCAGAAAAGAGAAGTGTGAATTCAAACCCCAGAGGCCAGGAAGGAAGATTCCTAAATATATGCCACCTCCTCTTCCATCTAATAAGAAATGGTTTGGAACCCCAGTTGAAGAGATGAGAAGAATGCCTGTGTGTGGGGCCCGTCTTCCTTATCTGCGACCCTCAGCCAATCATACAGTAACCGTCAGAGTACGATAATTCAGTGTATTACCTGAACTCAAATTTCTTACTGAGTTGTTCAATAATATGAAATGCCGAATGTTAGTCTTACAGTATTAGCAGGTTGTGGAAATCTTTCTTTGCTGTTCTTGCGAGCAGACTGAGGAAACTGATTTTCCTGAAAATTGACTTTTCTGATGCACAGAATTAGGTATTAAGATCCAGAAGAAATGTAATTATGGTTTTACTGCCTTTGGCTTGTTAGGGACAACATCTTTTGCATAGATGTGTGTGTACTTCCTTGTCTGAGTTGTAAACTCTGGGAATTTAAATACGTCTGCAAGTGAAATTTGAACTTCAACGTTTTCATGTTATATTTTTGTTTTAATATGATTCTGTTTTGGGTTCAGGATACACAGAAGGCTCAAGATGTTCAAGGTATGAAAAAGACAGAAAGCGAAGAGGCATTCTTAGCAATTTTACCACTGCATTTTAGATAAAAACTGATATATTTGCCTGTAATCCTTTGGAATAGTATGCAGTCAAATCATTGTTCAAGTAAAACATGTGACCAGAAACCTGTACGGTCATGTATAAATCACAAACAAAAGAAAAGCACATTAAGTTTAAATGCAAGTTCTGAGAGCATTGGTGCTGCCAGAAGGCTGGATGGCAGATTAAGTCTTTAAGAACACTGCATTATTTATTTTTGTATTTCTGATATTTTGTGGAGTAAAATTGAAATATTGCTATATCCATAATGATTTCTCAGCCTCTTCAGTGTTATGTTAAAAAAATGTTACTTCTGCACATCACTATGGTTAGATTTGAAACTACAGTTTGAAAATATTTGGATGAGACTATGCAGATACTTAAAGTCATAAATGAAGTATTTAGCTGATAATTGGACATAAAGTCATTGCATGTACTACCTTTATTTCAGTGTGTTTCTTGAGGTCGAATGATAAGGTGGTAGTCTTTTCACCAAGTATAACATAAGAGTAACAGCTGGATTTTTTTTCGAACTGAATATCCATCATGTGGTTGGTTTGTAGCTTTCCTGTTTCCAAAAAGGGTGGCTGTAGAGCTTTTTAAACTATATTTTTACTCACTTTTTATTTCTTCCATTTAAAACCCTAAAAGTAGAGTCTGAACTTCCCCCCTCCCCCCGTTCTGTGTTGCAGGTAGATCTTCTGAGGGAAGGAGAGGTGCCTAAACCTTTTCCAACTCACTACAAAGATTTGTGGGACAACAAACATGTTAAAATGCCCTGCTCAGAACAAAATTTATACCCTGTAGAGGATGAGGTAAGATAAAGTATTTACAGTTGTGTAATCAAATAAGTTTGTTTACATGTAGATGAGTTTTCGATTTACTGCATTTGCTCAGTTAGCAAACTGTGTGTATGGAATTGGAAAATTAAATAGATGAACATATCTGTTCTAAAAAGCCAGATTCTGGGTTATGATGCTTCAGGCAGATATTTTCTTCAGAAGATTTTTTTTTTTTCCTAGTAAATATTGTACCTATGTTGTTTGGCGTGTGTATTTCTGTACTTGTTATATATTTATATGTAATGTTGGAGTTTTTTTGTGAAGCAAATTGGGATGCCAACAGATGTGAGTGAATTCATAACCACATTCTGATTATAATATTCTGTCGGGTATTGCTGGTAGACTGAGGTGTGTCTGCATGCTGTTCCACTAAAACGATGGTGGAGAGATTGGAGTTGGCCCTGAATGGTGTGTTGGTCTGGTGTTTTGTGTCACGGCTCGAGACTTACTTAAACATACCCACTGAAATACTTTAGACTGTGGTGAATAAAATTAGCAAGCGTGTCCTGTAGTGAAGACTGTATCGTGATTATTGATACTTGAATATGGAACAGAGAATTTTTGTAGCCTTTAAGAAGTACTCTCAGTCTTTTCATTTATCAATTTTACAGATACAGTCTAAAGTAAATTTAATTGATGTTTCAGAGATAAAGTGTTGATAAGATCTTTGTTGCCAGTTGAGCAAGATGACTTGTCTCTGCCCTTGTGGTAGTCCCAGAAGAAATACCGTTGTTGCTTACAATGGGCAATAAGACTTTCTGTTGAGGGAAGATATCACAGGATCTCTTTTGGGTTGGCACAAGAGCCAGCCACAGCAACATGCTTTTATAATCTGTGCCCTTATTGTTCTTAATACTAGTTTTTTATAAAGTTGGTTCGGTTTATATTTTTGAGTTGCAGATTTTATAAACTGTGGTCATGTTTTGTGTCCAAAATACACTTGCTTCACAACAATATACTGGATGTTGTTTGTCCTTGTGATAGCATAGGAAGAGTGCTGCAGATGTGAAAAGGAGCTCTATGAATTTTGTGAATGGTTCAATTAAAAAGGAACTCTTATGGAAGTAAAATGCAGTAGACTACGAGTTGCAGAAAGTACTTCTCAGTTACTCAAAATATGTGGTTTACTCTTAAAGAACTTCACAAATAAAGCAAACTTTATTTAAAACAAATGTGGCAAGGAAGGCAATTATTAGTAAATACGTCTTTCTGTTTTGATTAACTTAGTCTGTTTTCGGCTTTTGTTTTAAAGAATGGAGATAGAACTGCTGGGAGTCGATGGGAACTAATCCAAACTGCCTTACTTAACAAATTTACTTGCTCACATGATTTGAAGGTAAGCTTGTCAATTTGAAATTAAGTCTGTGTACATACATTCAGGCTCCCTGTGTACTGTTAGTGGTTCTGGTTCAGTCCCAATTGCTTCATCACTTATAAAAAGAAATTTAAAAAAAAATCTATGCTGTTCAAGGGATTCCCTGGTGAATTAAAGGTCTTAATTAATGAGTCTTAAGTATTACCACTGAATTTATTAGGAATTATTAAAATGAATTGTCTTTTTTAAGTCTACATGGAACTGTTTGTCCGGTGGTATCTATTAGTTTGTGGTAAACGTAGCATGTAGGCTTTTTCTGTAACAGATGGTAGGGCGATGCACAGGGAGAGCGTTTGAAACAGTAACTGTTCACACTGGTATACTCCACTAAAATCACAGCAATACAAGCTGCTGACAAAAATCTAAATTTTGGAGACTAATGCTCACTTAATAATTCTTCTATAGTTCTCATTGGCTTTTAATGAATTGTGATTTGGAGCAGCTTAGAATTGCTATTATGTTTTTTGTAAAAAGTAATGTAATTTAGATTATACCTGAAAGGCAGGCCAGGAGGAGGATGCAAAAGCTACAGATAAGGTTTAAACGAATAAACAGTGTTCCCTCAGCAATTGATGGAACTTTGCTTGATAATACTATTTTGTTTGGTATTTTTTTCTTGAGAATTTTGTGAAGGTGCTGGTTGTTGTAAAGGGCCTATTTAATTTTGTTGTGGTTCTGATTCTTCAGGTTTGTAAACTGGTAAAACTTCTGCTGTATTGCTGAGGGACACTTTTTCTGGTATTCTTAGAGAGCAGGCATGGGGTGGGGAATGTTTATGGGGTGTGTTGTAGGCAGATCTAAGCATGCTTTATCATGTTTTGTGCTAGGAGGAAAACCTGTAGACTGAAGCTTTTTCAATGCTAGACCCTAGACCTAGGGTTTAGTATCACGGAGTTGACCATATTAATGGATTTTGGTAGACTCTGACAGATTTTAGCCACCAGATGGTACTGTTCCTTCGAAAAGGACATTTCATAAAATCTTTTTTCTTCTGTCA